GGCTCACCGCAACCTCCGCCCCCTGGGTTCAGGCAATTCTCCTGCCTCAGCCTCCCGAGTAGCTGGGATTACAGGCACGCACCACCATGCCCAGCTAATTTTTTGTATTTTTAGTAGAGACGGGGTTTCACCATGTTGACCAGGATGGTCTCGATCTCTTGACCTTGTGATCCACCCGCCTCAGCCTCCCAAAGTGCTGGGATGACAGGCTTGAGCCACCACGCCCGGCTCCGGAAGACAATTTTAATCTCCCCCACAAGTTTTCTTCATGGTAAACCCTTTAGTTCCTGGAATCCTTCCATAGGTGACTTAGTTTTGGTCCACCCAGGATACGTCTAAGCCCCTTTCCCTCATATATGAGCATCCCTGGGAAGATGCTAGCCAGCCATAAAGGAAAGCTGAGCTAGCAGGTTTTAGATGCTATCCATACTGAATCAGCCGGCCTTTGTCCTTGGTTCATGTGAACATTCTAATCCATACCCTATAAGTATATTTCACATTTTCTTCTTTTCACTGTAGTTTCACCTTAGTGTTCAGGAATATGAACACTACTACCCGTGAGGAAGGGCACATTGTAAAGACTATATTGTCAAATGCTGCACTGAAAAGTCACCCTCTATAACTGTGGTAGGTTTGATTGCATTATTGACCCCGGATTTTTACCTTCTCTATGTCAGTGATGTGTTCCATGTGACTTTGAAGTTCCAGTTCTTTGATTTTATATACAGTACTGTGACTTGCTTTGGCCAAGAGAATGAGGCAGAAGAAACAGCATGCGAACTCCAAACCTAGGCTTCAGAGGCTCTGGGTATTTCCAGTTACCCTTCAGTGTTCTGCCATCATCATGAGATAACCCACCCCCACTAGCCTACTGGCCCAAGGAAGCTGGGAGGCATGTGAGCTAGGGCCCCCAGGTGCACCCAGCTTGTACTAGCTGACTGACCAACTCATAGAAACTTGAGCCAAAACAAGGGATTACTCCTTTAAGGCACTGAGTTTTGGGATGGTTGACTATACAGAATTTTTGTGGCAAGAAATAATTATTATGGAAATTATGTGGGCCAGAAAACATAGAGAAAGTAATACTAACCCCACCTGAACAGAGTTACAAGTTTAGAAGAATTAATGAAAGATTTATAAAACTATAACCAGGCTAGATGAACACCTTATAAAAATGATTTACCAAATTTTAACTTTGAGTTTCTTTTGTAAACTGTGACCAAGAAGAAAATAAATGTGTATATTGTATCTCACCAATGAATAGGTAATGACAAAAGCAAACTCAACTTCTAAATATATGTGAAAAGTTAAGGCGTTTCCTATGTGATATAGTTCACTCATTTGCTCAAGAAATGTTGAATGAGTTGTGTGTCAGGGCCATTCTAGGCCCTGGAAATATAGTTGTGGGAAAAACGGATAAGGCCCAGGTCTCATGAAGCTTGTATTCTATTGGAGATTTAGAAAATAAAAAAATTAAATAAAGCAGGTAACTTCAGATAATGATAAGTGCTAGGAGAAAACTCAGGCAGGGTAAGGGATACCTTAGGTAGTTTAGGGAGGACTTCTCTGAGGATGTGACAGTGAAACTAAGGCCAAAATGACATCAGTAATTCAAGGGAAGAAAGACTACATTGAAGAGCATAGCAGATGCAAAGGCCCTGAGGTAGGAATACACTGGGAGTGTTCTAGGTATAATTAGAGATGTGGAGAGGAGCAATGTGGTATGAAATGAAGTGGATGATATTTAAAGAGGCCGGGACATGTAGTGTTCCTTTGGCTAGAGTAAGAAGTCTGTTTTATTCCAAGGCAAATGGAATCCACTAAAATGTGCTAAGTGTATGACTTGATTTATGGGTTTTAGGAGCTCAGTCCTGGCTGCTGTGCAAGGAATAGATTGTAGATGGACAAAAGCAGAAGCAAGGAGGTTGATTAAGTCATTGCATCTTGGCAGCTACAGCTAGCACGAGGGTAAGGATGGAGGGAAATGAACAGGTTTGAGATATATATTGGAGGTAGAATCCATCAAGTTGTCCTGATGGATTGGATGTGAAGGAACATGAGAAATGAAGGATAATGCCTAGGCGTTTAGTTGGGGTAACTGAGAGGACGGTTGTCGGTGCCATTTCTGGAGATGAGGAAGAAGCGAGGAACCGTGAACTGGGGGGAGGGAGAGGTCAGGAGTTTTGTTGAATGAGTTAAGTTTGAACTTAGACATTGAATTGGACTTGCCCAGTAGGCTGCTCGACATACTAATTGGGAAGTGAAGGCTGAAGATACCACTTGGGCAGTCTTATAGATGGTCTTTTAGCCAAAGGACTGAGTGAGTTCATCTAGAAAAAAGAAGTGAAAGTGTTTTATTTTTAATTTTAAGTTTAAGAAGTTTTAAATTTTAAATAAACTTTTTAAAAATAAATAAATAAAAGAAGCAGGAGGACTCAGCCACAGAGCATGCTGACATTTAAAAGCTCAGCAGAGAAAGAGGAGACAGAAGAAGAGCTTGAGAGAGAAGCTGAGAGAGTGCGATATTGTGGAAGCCAAGAGAAGAAAGTGTTCCAGGAAAGAGAGTCATCAACTTGGGTTGTGTTGATTGAATGCTACTGAGTCATAAAGTAAGATAAGGACCAAGGAGTAACTATTGGCTTTGGCAGTGAATAGCTGATGGGTAACTTTGACAAAAGAAAAGATTTAGTGGACTACTGGACACAGAAGTCAAATGGAATGACTGAAGAGTGAATGGGAGGAAAGAAACTGGTAATAGTGAGGTTTTGTTAAAAATGGGAATGGAGAAATAGGTAGCTGGAGAGGATGAGAGTTGAAGGTTCTGTTTTGTTTTACTTGGTTTCGAATTGGAGATACAGAGACATATTTAAATGACAGCAGAAATAAACCCACAGAGAGAAAAGTTGATATTGTGGGAGAGAAAATGGACAGATGCAGGATCAATGTCTTTGAGAAAGGGGGGGACCCAGAGTACAGTGAAGTGTAGGCCTCCCATGCTAACAGAGGAGGTAAGGGCAACAGAGTGCCAGTGAAATGGTGGGTTTGGTGATGGGAAGATGAGAGACACTGTCAGTTTACATATATACATATTTTTAAAATTCATATATATATATGTGGATATATATCCACATATATATATAGTAATTCCTTTTTTTTTTTTTTTTGAGACTGAGTTTTGCTCTCGTTACCCAGGCTGCAGTGCAATGGCACGATCTCAGCTCACCACAACCTCCTCCTCCTGGGTTCAAGCAGTTCTCCTGCCTCAGCCTCCTGAGAAGCTGGGATTACAGGCACGCACCACCATGCCCAGCTAGTTTTTTTAATTTTTAGTACAGACGCGGTTTCACCATGTTGACCAGAATGGTCTCAATCTCTTGACCTTGTGATCCACCTGCCTTGGCCTCCCAAAGTGCTGGTATTACAGGCATGAGCCACCGTGCCGGGCCCCTAGTAATTCTTAAGATGGCGTCACGCTGTCGCCCAGGCTGGAGTGCAGTGGTGTGATCATAGCTCACTGAAGCCTCAAACTCCTGGCTTCAAGCAATCCTCCCATCTGGACCTCCCAAAGCACTGGGATTATAAGTGTAAGCCACTGTGCCCAGCCACTTATATTTTCTCAATGAGCTATGACTTCAGGTTATCATTTGAAGAGCCAAGACTTCTGAATCCTGAGCCCAAAAACACTGTGTTCTTCATTTACCATTTGGTATACTTGAAGCAGAATGGACATGATAACCCCTTTAATGTATTTTGAAGAGCAATTCAGATAACAAAACAGATCATGTATATTCTTTCATTTGACGCTCTTGTCCTGAGTAATTCCAGTCTGGAACAGAATTCAGTTTGTATAAATGAAGACACTGTAATGAAGGGACTACTTACAGAGGTCAGAGTGGAATTGAGAGATGAAACTATCAACAATCAGGAGTCATTACCTCCCTTGGGGCCACTGTGTCAAAAGAGATTAATAGTGTTAGGTCCAACGAGAGCTGTTGCCATGAAGGGAGGACCAACCAGCATGGTCATTCATTGAAGGGATATGTAATCACTGTCAGGGGAGCAGTGTCAGTGCAGAGAGGGAAGGAAAAAGCAATCTCCTGACTTTCTTCCACTCCCTTCTCTTGCTGGTGCTTCCCAACTAAGGCTAAGGCCAACTGGAAGCCAGCTGGCAAGTGAGTGGGTGGATATTTTTCATGGTGAAAGAATCCATCTGGCAGTGAATAACCAGCACAGCTCCTAACATTTCATGCCATAAATGTTGAAAAGATTTTGAAAACCTCTCCAAGGGGAATCTTTTTACCCAATGCCAGTGTATAAATGCATCTTATTTGTTGCCAGCTGGGATCTGGAAAACCTAGCTAACCATATTCTTTAATACAAGTCATCATGAGTACTTGTAATCCACTTGAAATCTGAAAATGTAATATTTGCCCGTAGGTTCCTTTATTCCCATCCAGAGGCATATTAACATACAACTGGAGAAGCATGTATTTCAGGGACCCCACTTGCATGAGCCCCTTCCAAGGCCATGGGTGGGTCCTAGAAATGTGTTCACCTGGTCCTATGTTTCTGTAAAATTTGTAAAGGTAAGATATTTTAACTGGAATCTATTAAAAACTAACTTTTTCACTCTGACCCTAGAGAAGTCTGTCTCTGCCCCCCACCAGTTATGTGTGAGAGTTATGTAACTCAAGGCCCCACAAAACCTGGATCTGCTTCTGCTTTCAGTGGGACTCAAGTGTGCTGATGCAGATTTTATCCCTTTCCCGGTTTTACCACTGTGGAGAGGGGTAATTAATGAGCATCAGAATGGACATTCTGCATGGGGAGAATGTCGCAGAAGGATGAGAAAAACAGAGTGGGGTGGTGGTGCTAGGGACAGTGGGAGAAAAGCACTGTGCTTGAAGGATTGCCTCTGAGTCATGGAGGGTTTGCAGGTGTCTGCAGGTGACTCATTTCCCTCCAGGGCCTAACTCATGTGCTGCTCTCTATATTTGCAGATGCAGATGGAAACCTGTGTCGAAGTAACCAACTGTTGCAAGTCATGCTGACCATGCACCGAATTATCATCTCCTCCGCGGAACTGCTCCAAAAAGTTATCACCCTATATCCTTTTACATAGTGACCAGCAGTCCCAAAACGGGAGCCACTAAAAAAGGAGCTTGAAATTTGAAGTGTGCTTTTGTTTTTATTGGTTCAGAATAACCCTGAGTGGTAAATAGCTTCGTATGTCCTTTCAGGGGTATGGGTGCTTGTGTTGGGGGTGTGTTCATGTATCCTCTGCTGGGAGCGGCAATGTTATTGATGCTGATTGTTCTGGAGGGTGATCAAAGAAATCAGCATGGAAGCACAATCTTCCTTAGTCTTTTAAAAGTAAAAAAATACTTTTTTTCTGTAGAGTGGTCAAAATAGATATTCATCCTGTGCACACTGACAAAGGTGCAATTATGACTCAAGGATAAATTTCTTTCTGGCTTTCTTGTCCAATACTTCAACTTTCTCCAGGTTCTGAAGGAAGATTGCAGGCGCAGCGTCTGGGGAATCTGCTTGTGCCTTATTGCTTCAGGCAGGAGGATTGACTATATGCCATGCAAAACCTGCTGGATTTTAACCTTATAATGGAGTGTGAATCAAGCAGGGTGAAGAAAGTGCCTGCTTTCTTCTTCTCGCTGCTGACACTATAAGCAGCAGCCCCCACAAAAGAGGAGTTGTAGGTGGAGTGAGACCGTTTAGCACCCAAGGTGCAGGTCCCTGGTACTGTGTGATGACTGGCAGCTGCTCTAATACTTTCCCACTCTCTTAACTCCCTGCATTTCATCTTAGAGCACACAGAGAAAATAAAAATCATCAGGACCGAATCTTTTCTCTGTACCTATTCGTGAATCTTTACCTCTCGTGTGAAAGGAGGTGTTTTTCAGTAGCATAGCAAGGGTGGAGCATTGGGAGAAGTGCATCTAAATAACAAGGTGCAGGTAATAAGTGGGTGCCTCATCTGCAGAGAATTTTAAACCTTCATGAAACCAACTCAATGTCTGTACCAGTGATTGTAAACAATATCAGTGATTAAATATTCCTCCCTAAAAACTTGTTTGTTGGCCTAGGGACTAAATTGTACCTGGGGTGGCTGGGCACGGTGGCTCACACCTATAATCCGAGCATTGTGGGAAGCCAAAGCAGGCAGATCACTTGAGGTCAGGAGTTCAAGACCAGTCTGGCCAACATGGTGAAACTCCTTCTCTACTAAAAATATGAAAATTAGTGGCTCACGCCTGTAATCCAAGCACTTTGGAGGCCAAGGCAGGCGGATCACCTGAGGTTGGGAGTTCAAGACCAGCCTGACCAACATAGTGAAACCCCGTCTTAAAAAAATCAAAAAGTATTTTTAAAAGAAGCTGGGTGCAGTGGCTCACACCTGTAATCCCAGCTCTTTGGGAGGCTGAGGTGGGCAGATCACCTGAGGTCAGGAGTTCGAGACCAGCCTAACCAATATGGTGAAACCCCGTCTTTAAAAAAAATAAATAAATAAATAAAAATTAAAATTAAAAAAAAATTAGCTGGGTGTGGTGACACATGCCTGTAATTCCAGCTACTCGTGAGACTAAGGCAGGAGAATAACTTGAACCTGGGAAGTGGAGGTTGCAGTGAGCTAAAGTGAGACTCTGTCTCTAAAAAAAATAAAATTGCTCCTCGAGGCTCCTGCCTTAGTGCACTACTGGGTGCCTACACAGTGGGGCAGAACCCCTCCCCCTTTCCCATGGTCCCTTGTACTTCTCACAGATTCTTTCTCCATCAGCTGTCGCCTCTCCTGTACTTTCAGACTCTACCTCTTCAACGGCACATGCCCCTCAGCCTAAAACACATTCAAGTCTCCTCATCTAAAAATCAACTCAGCCCTGCCTCCCCTTCATTCCATTGTTCGGGTTAAAAATTTGATGTGAAAGCATCTTAAAATAGTCTGTAGTAACTATCTCCAACCTCTTTACTCCTGCATGCTTTATAACTGTGTTAAGTTGGCCCCCAGTATTCGAACTTTCCTCTGATGTCACCAATAACCTCCTAATTGAAAAGCCCAAGGACTTTTTCTCATCCTTATTTCCACTGACCTCCCAGGAGCATTGCGTATGGCTGACAAGCCGGTTCTCCTCGCAGCTCTCCCTCCAGGCTTCCCAGAACTGCACCCTCCTGGCTTTCCCTCCTCTTGGGTTGTGCCGTGTCCAGCTTTTCATCCAGAGGCTTCTTCGAGCTCTGCTTACATCTGGGTGTAATGTTCTGGTTTTCCTCTCACTGAGCTTCCTTTCTGTGGATGACTTTGCACCAGAATTTCTACCACTGTTTCCACCATTCTTCTGTGCTGATGGTGACTTTCAGGTCTGCACTTCTCTGACTTAAACCTTTCCTTTTTTTTTTCTTTTTTTTTTGGAGATTAGTGTGGGGAGAGAGGGTCTCACTATATTGCCTGGTCTCAAACTCCTAGTATCAATTGATCCTCCCACCTCAGCCTCCCAAAGTGCTGGGATTATAGGCATGAGCCACTGCGCCTAGCCATCTAACCTAAACCATTTTTCTTAGGTTTATACCAGTGTGTCCTGCGAACACCTAAGGCTTTAAAATGTTCATTAGCTCACTGTCCCCACCCCCAGCCACTACCTCATTAATTCTGCTTTGACACCGGTACAACCATGTTTTGGCTAACTAGGATACATTCTGAGAAGTACATCGGAGGGCGATTTTGTCATTGTGCGAACACCATAGAGTACACTTCCACAAACCTAGACAGCACAGCCTGCCTCACACCCAGGCTAGATGGCACGGCCCATTGCTCCTAGGCTACAAACCTGTACAGCAGGTTACCGTACTGCATACTGTCGGCAATCATAGCACCGTGGTATGTATTTATGTGTCTCAACATAGAAAAAGTACAGTAAAAATATGGTATAAAAGAGTAAAAAATGGCACAGCTGTGTAGGGCATGAGTGGAGCCTGCAGGACTAGAAGTTGCTCTGGGTAGTCAGGGATGAGTGGTGAGTGAATGTGAAGGCGTAGGACATTGCTGTACACAACTGTAGACTTTATACACACTGCATACTTAGGCTATTCTAAATTGATAAAAAGTATTTTTCTTTCTTCAATAATAAATTAGCTTACTGTGATTTTTTTTTACTTTATAAACTTCTTAATTTTTAAAACTTTTTGACTACACAGTGTACAGCTCTGCAAAAATAATTTCTTTATATTCTATAAGCTTTTTTATATTTTAAAAATGCTGAATTTTTGTTAATTTTCTTTTTAAACTTTGTTGTCAAAATCTAAGGCACAAACACATACAGCAGCCTAGGCCTGTGTTGGGTCAGGATCATCAAGACATGACCCGGCAATAGGAATCTTTGAGCTTCATTTTCATCTTATGGGACCACTGTCATGTATGTGGTCCATCACCAACCAGCATGTTATGCATGCAGTACATGACTGTATTTTCATGTTCAACTTCATTTAATAGTGTTAGTATCTATTCTTGCCTAAACCAGTAGCATCAGAAGCACTCTTGACTTCTCCCCTGCCTGTCATCTCCTACAGAGTCTGTCACCTGATTCTAGGGTTTTTACTTCAGAAATGAGTATTATCTGGTCTCTGTTCTCCATTCCCATGCCATGCCTTAGTTCATGGTCCTCTCCTGGACCACTGTTCCATGCCAGTCATTATATCTGCATGGTTCCCTACCCCGCCTTGTAAAGCTACCCTTGAAATTCTTTACTACAAAGCAAACTGGGCAGGCCATTTCTTCTGAGCCTCTGCAGACTACAGAGTTATTGTCAGATCCTTAGCTTGCCAGGAAAAGGTCGTCCTCAGTCTGTCCCCAGCGAGTTTTTCCTGCTTCATTCTGTAGCTCTCTGAGAAACCCTTTCCCCTCCACACTGAACTTCTCAACACACCGGATGTAACGGAGCCTTTTACAATTCCTGGCCTTGAAAGTCTTTCTCCCCTCTTTGGTTAGCAAGCTCTTTCAAGATCCTTCTGGGAAGCTTTTCCTGACTTTTGCAGCCCTTCTCCCTTTTTAAAAATGACTTCTAGTGTTTTTAAATAGTATTCTTGATTGAAAATCTATTTAATTCCTTTGATTTTAGTTTTGTATTGCTTAAGTCAAAGTGTGTTTCTCGTATCTCCGGCCTGGATGCAGTCTGCATTGAGAAACTCGCAGAAAGGGTGAGGTGTTTTTATTCTGCTAGCTAAATAAATATATCTACGTAAACGTCAGTCCTTAAGTTCTGCAATGTAGTGCCTGTGTACTCTGGTCTTTGTAGATGACCGTCTCCAGTAAACTACAGAACCTTTATGTCTAGCTGCTGTGATTTGAATTTGGATAATAATATAAAAGATTGCAGGGCTACTGAGAAATTGATTGAATTACAAATTACTTAAAGATACAAATATATTTTGGTATTTTAAAAGTACATATGCTCTATTGTAACTTACCTATTTGTGTGTCATCTCCACAGCTAGACTGTCTTTCAAGGGCAGGGAGCAAGGTTTATTTATCTTTGTATCTAGAATTTAGCTTAGTGGCTGTTTCATGGTAGAACACGATAAATGTTGCATTACTATGGGTGCAACACATTGGGATACTTTTTTATATTTATAAGAACTTTTATATGTGATATCTGGGCTTTGTCCAGGTGAAGATGTAACCTGGGGTAAGGGGAAGGGATTCTGAGAGTATGAAATAATACTCCTGTAATGGAAAGCCAGGTTAAACATTGAAGGCAAAATTATTTTCTTTCTTTACGCTTGGTTTCCCTGTTGTCTGACCTGGAAGTAATAGAATTTAAGCTCAGATGGTCTCCTGTTTGCCATTGTTAAAAGAAGGGAGGGATACATTTGAAAACATGCTTTGAATAGTTTAGATGCCTGAAAAGTACAGTCAGAACTGTACTGGTACTTTGTAACCACAGTACTAGCTATGAAGAGAAGAAAAAGGTATGGGGTCTGAGGGTTCCAGCAAACACTGAAGTTTACCAAGATCAGCAGATGCCTGAACCTCTTACTACTTAGCCTGCATGTGCTGGTGTTTGTTTCAGCTCCCAAATGAAGTGAGAAAGTGGGTTCCCTGCCTCCCTGTGGGGGCAGCCATTGCCACCATGGCATAGGGGCTCTGAGGACCTCTGAATGGTCCCCAGGCTTAACATGTATGTGTGGACTATCTGGATTTACACCATTGATGCTGTGCCACATGCAGCCAACGTGCACTGTGAGAATATACTTTTGAAGGGAAAGATGAGCCACTGGGAGAAGGTGAATGTCACCATGTCAATTTGATGTATCTACTTAGCTTTAAAACAGAAATGTGGTTTTTTTGCCTTCCCTTTTAAAATAAAAGAATAAAAATTTCAACAAGTAGAACACATGCTAAAAATATAAAATCTGAGAGGTATTTATCTATGTGCCTTATGCCTGAATCTCTTTGCATTGAAGTGATGCGTTGTCTTAGTGATGCGGCATAAAGAAACATAAAGCCATCTCATTCTCACTTCTCCCTTTCCACCCAAAGAAAGGCAGGCAGAAAAACTGTCTACTTCCTGAAGTTTGCCAGTTGTCTGCACTTATTTGTATGTCAGTTTTTGGTTGATGTGTAGGGTTTTGTGGCTTTTTGTTTTGTTTTAGCGCTCTGATCTAAAGGACAGATTTTATAGGCAGTCAGTGTATTAAAATCTGATTTTCAAAACTAGAAGTCATTTCATTAAAATTACAATTTTTTTAACCATGGTTCTTGTGGTTATAGGGCTTCAAGATTAGCTTACAAATCTTACTGTTTCTGTAAGTGTAGCATGTTTCAGCAAACATTTTTAAGGGACCTTGAAAAATGTTTCGTTAATTTGAATAATGTTAATTAAATATTTCTAGTGGTTTTAAACTACAATTCTGCATTTTATATCTTAATTTTTAAGTGCTTCAGAGACCTCCCTGAATTCTAAATAGTTTTTTTAATAACTCTAATAGATTAAATTTATAAACAGTAAAGCTAACATTATCTTGGATGTTCCAAAGCTATGCATAAACTTAATAAGGTTTCAATTTAAAACCACAAGTCTAAAGCACTTAGTTATATATTGCAAATTGAAGTTTCAAGGCCATCATTCTAATGGCCTTTTAAACGTTACAAGCATATACAATTTCAAAATGCACAAAATGATTTCTTCCTAACAAAAAAGATCAGTACTATGATTTTTACTGTCTTTTCCTTTTCTATATTTAACTCTAAGTTTTCCAAAGGTTAAAATATATACACCCACAGAAGGAAAACCACTCCTGTCCCAGTTAATTAGGTTTTTTGCTGGGTTGTTCACTGGATTCCTCTCACGGGCCCAACTGGAATTCACTGAACCCTATGTTGGAGTCATTATCCACAGTTTTTAGAAGGAAAAGAAGGCATGACCTTTACAGGCACACAGCCCGCATCGCCTGATGCCTCCGTCTGTTGATGGGAAACAGCAGGACCTAGTCAGGCTCATCACTGGAGTTCTCATTTCTTTGACTCTTCAAATAAATGAATTATTTTTTCCATTTATCTTTAAAGACGTGAACTTGGTGAGATCTTGCTGTTCTTTCATATTCTTGGAATGTTCGGAACGAAAACGATCCTTGAGATGATGTCCAGTTGTATTTTAGATTATTCATATGGTTTGTCTGACTTGCCATTACAATTTATGAGATCAGTCTACTGACATCCTCTAGGTGGATATATTGTCACTTTCATATTATTGTTCTTCATTATCATGACATATCCACATATATATTTCTTCCTCTTCTTATTCACTGCATGCATGTGTATCAGGCATGAGAAACATTTTAAAAGGTAAATGGGGCTGCTTTTTTTTTCCCTGCTTCATTTTTTCCTTCATAGGGCTGCTTTTTAAAAAATCTTCTTTCAGTTGGGCTTCTAGTCTTTTGGGCACAGGCAAGGGGTCATTTGCCCCATGTTCACTTTTTATAAGTCACTTGTCCTGGGACTTGTTTACATGATTAACTTTTTTAAAAAAATATATATTTTATTGCATTTTAGGTTTTGGGGTACATGTGAAGAACATGCAGGATTGTTGCATAGGTACATGCATAGCAATGTGCTTTGCTGCCTTCCTCCCCATTAGCAAATGATTAACTTCTTAGTTCTGCAATGCTGCTGCCTCCTTCCGTAAGCCAGGTTGACATGGGCTGGAGAGGAAATCACCGTCATCCCCCTTCGAGGTGATAATATGCATACAGCTATACACATCAAGTTGGGTTTTTATCCTTTGGCCAGAAAGATAAAGCATCAGATTTTCATTTTTTAGAAAAAATATTTTGGGAGGGAGTTGCAGCAAATACTTGCACAGATGAAAAGTCTTTTGGTTTCTGTAACAGAGGTCTCCATTTCCCTTAACCACAGCCCTACCTATAAGGATGCTTTGGCAAAGAATTCACCAGGACTTTGCCTGAAGATCTGCTATTTTGTAAGGTAATGTTTCCCTATGTGTTTCAAGACTTTGTGGAGCAAGGTGAAATGAAAGGTGAAGCAAGGGACTTTTCCTGCCTTTTTTTTTTCTTGACAGCTACAGAACACCTTTGGACAGACAGAAAAGGGTAGTCCTCAATACTGGAAATTCCTCAACACAACACAGCGACTTTTCTCTGGTGTACCTGAGCTTAATTATTTTCTACCAACCTTTTTTCTGTCTTTGGTATCAAATGACATAAAGGAGGGAATACAGAAGTAATGAACGATCTCTTTGTTATTTTCTTTTTATTCTTAATTATACAAGTAATATAGCTCATTAGAGAACATTTTTTAAAATGCAGAAAATAATATAACTATAATAATGATCATTCATGTCCGGTTACCCATTTTGGTGTATTTCCTTTGTCTTGTTTTCATGCCAATTTTTTTGAGATGAAAATACATATAAGGCTTGATATCCAAAATTTTCACTTAACTTTATAGCATGAGAATCTTCTCTAGTCATTAAAGACTTTTTATAAACATCATTTTTAATAGCCATGTAATATTCTAATATAAAGTATAACCTATGAATAGACTACCTCATTTTGGACATTTGGTTTATCTATAGTTCTCTCCTTTATCTGTGACCCACATGATTGTGCCTGAATCTTTGTCATGCTCCTTTGATTATGATATGCCTTATCCATTTTATGTGGAGGGACAGAAGATTTTCAGTCGATGGGGTTTCTTCCCTCCCTGCTCCCACTCCAGCTCCTTCAGTGTACTAATAGACAGATTAGACTTTGTCTTTTTCTGAGTTCTCTTTGTGGCAGTAAATTCCTTTGGGAACCCACCAAATTGTGAGTCCTTGGTGTCAGTTTTGGATTGTGTTTTTTAATCCCCTCCTTGTAGGTATTGGATAACAGAATTCTGGGTCATGTTTAAAATGGATGCCAGCTTGACAGACACTATGGAGGAATTTCAGGAACTGGTGAAAGCTAAGGGTGAGGAGTTACACTGCCACCTGATTGACACAACTCAAATGTGAGTGTCAAGGTTTTGACTCATGTTTCAAAACCACCTCCCTCCTGTAATATAATCCCAGCTGCTTGCTAGGCTTCTGACCCCCCGGGGTGACTGCTCTTCTCTTCCACCACTCTGAAAAGCCCCTCAAATAGGCAGGTTCAAATTGCCTCACCAAAGTGAAAGCTTGGCATTTAACAGGAAAGCAGAGGTGCATCATGGTGATGAAGTGGTAGGTGACTTATATGCAAGAGCAAAAAAAGTCCCAGTCAAAAAGAAATCAGTCAGCAAGATATTGACTAAAATTAATCCAGATCATGAGAAACTAAAAGTGCAAATGACGGATCTCACGCTTAATGCCAGGAGGCACCCCTGAACTTGTAAATGGGGATGGGACTGCTAAAAAACGTATTCAGGAGAGGGCTTATAACATACATGGATGTCTGTGAAAGACACTTAGATTTCCAGAGCTGGATGGGATCCCAGGAATGTTTTAAGTCATTCCTTGGAGTTCTTATTAATAAGACTGACCCATTCTGGGAAAATGAGTGCCTTTCCTAATGAGCAGGAGGGGAATCATGCATTCTGTATGCTAAGGTTTTCACAGTGTGGCTGCTTTATTTTTAAACAGTCTAAATCCCTAAGAAATAGAATTCTAGAACTGATAGATATATTCTAGAGATCATTTCATCCAACATCCTAATTTTTCTGACTGGGAAATTGAGGCTCAGCAAGAATGTGACTCATCTGGGGTCCAGCTAATTAATCTAGCGACAAAGCAGCAGCTAGCCTCTGAGGCCCTGTGCATGGTGCGCTATGGCCATGTAGAAATGACTTCAAGATTGCATTCCAGAGCCCCAAGTAAGTCTGTTTATCAGTTTGGATTCTCTCTACTTCCGTGCTTAGAATTACATAACTTGAAACATAAGAGATTATTCGAAGTAATAGTTTCTTCCTTTTAAAGATGAAATTAGAGCCTAGGGCACTTCTCAACCCCAGGTCTCCTTGTCCCAGTATTTCCTAGCTGACTTTTCCTGGTGAAAATTTTCCACAGTATATTCTGTAGGAATTTTTAGTCTGTGGGATATCATTTGTCCAGATATAATTGAGGAATAATGGGTTAAACGTTACCTTTGCAGTACTTTTTGGAGCATGCCATATGCTCACTGGCCAAAGAGGCTACAGCATTGATAGCACTTCCCAGGCTCATTGACCACAGCACGCTTTTATCAGAGACAAAGTTCCCAGGAACACTAGTTTGGAAAAGACAGGCAACCTGCTGTCTTTCAAAACGGCGCTGCTTCCCTTTGCTTGTTTAGTGAAGGAAATTGAGTAAGAAACACATGGGTTGCTTACAAGAAAATACGGGGGCAGAGAACACTCTAGGGTCAGCTAGGCTTCCTTGGTCATTTCAGTAGCTGAGGACATTTGAGGAAAATGACACAACTCTGCCAAGAGTGACCGCATGTTTGTGCATTCCCTCCACCTTTATGATGTCTTCCCTCTGTGGTTCTTTGAGCTTTCCTCCTGGCATGAAAACTGTCTCACTAACCTTGGGATTTCCAACCAGATAGAGTCCCTATCATTCACATGTGAATGAAGGAACACACAAGCGGAATGGAGGGAGCAGGCATACCAGAGGGCACACGAAGCAGCCAGGACCAAAAGCAAGGAAACTGACCAATACTTCAGATTCTTTCCTTCCCACTGCCTTAAAGTAAACTCATTTATCCTGTACCCCACTGCACATTTAAAAGGCTCATTGAAAACTGGCAAGACCTCTTGGTTGCTGCCATGGGAAAAACTGATAATGAGATACTCTGTGAATGAACTGTTTTGGTCAAGGAAAGTCAGCTAATGGCATTTTGTATATTCTTGTGAAAAATGTTAATGGATTTACTGGCAAAAAACAATTTATTCCTTTTCCCTGTTTTTTCCCTTTCACCTTTACCCACAAAAGCAATGCCCGTGACTGGTCCAGGAAACTTACTCAAAGGATAAAATCAAACACCAGCAAGAAACGGAAAGTCTCCCTACTCTTTGACCATCTGGAACCAGAAGAGCTGTCCGAGCACCTCACCTACCTTGAGTTCAAGTCCTTCCGAAGGATATCAGTATGTACCAAGGGGCAGGAGAAAAATCTCCCCGAGATAGTTCTGAAAATAAGATGAGAATTCAACAGCCCATCCACTTCATAACCTTAGACGCCTCCTCAGTATTGGCAGGCTTTCCTGCCAGACATCAGAGAGTCTGGAAAAATCAGCACCGTCTGAATTCCTTTGGTTGTGCTTCCTGTGCTTCTCCCATCTCCCTTCCTCCATGCTCCCACCCCATACCATCCCTCCACTCACTCAAGCTGCCATACTGTGAGTACACATGACACACACACACACACACACACCCCTCATACCCCTGATAATCATTAGGCATCAGGAACTCTTTTTTTTTTTTTTTTTTTTTCCGAAACGGAGTTTTGCTCTTGTTATCCAGGCTGGAGTGCAATGGCGTGATCTCGGCTCACTGCAACCTCCACCTCCTGGGTTCAGGCAATTCTCCTGCGTCAGCCTTCTGAGTAGCTGGGATTACAGGCATGCGCCACCATACCCAGCTAATGTTTTGTATTTTTAGTAGAGACGGGGTTTCACCATGTTGACCAGGATGGTCTCGATCTCTTGACCTCATGATCCACCCGCCTTGGCCTCCCAAAGTGCTGGGATTACAGGCTTGAGCCACCACACCCAGCAGGAACTCTTTTTTAATTTTCCTCAAAAAAAAAGTGGGAGTGGGTGGGGGCGGTGGAGAGGATATGTCCTCTCAGAGTTTGAATTCATTATAGGGTAAGCTTTGAATGGCTCTGGGAAATCCCAAAATAAAGTAGATTCTACTGGCCTAGCCCAAAACATACCTAAATCCTTGAAGTGGTTCTGGCTCAGAAGTCACCATGATTATAGAGGTAAGCTGTGCTGACCCAAACCTTACGATTGGGGCAACTGAGCAGAGTCAAAGGGAGAGAGATTTCAGTTGATTATCAGGAACAGAAAGAATACACAGGTGCAGCCTGTCCTCACTGCAATCCTTGAAACTCCATATGTGATCCCAAAGAATATTAGTTATATACAAGAGTACTGGTCAACATGTCAGATGTCAGCAGCCCCTCACTGGCCAATATGGTTTTCTGAGAAGTGAAACCCTTATTCCACTTAGCCCCTACCCCTACCAACAAATACCATCTTCACCTTTGTGCTGAAAATAGAGACTACCTAGTTTCTGGGGCCATTTATTAAACTGACCAGTATTCTCCTGGTGAGGGAATGGAGGCCCAGAGGGCTGAGGCTAGGACTAAGTGCCTGTCTTGGTCACTCAGCACCCATTTGTTGAGCTCAGTTGCGTCTGGAAGGAGACCTGCAAACCTCCTTCAAAGGTTATTTCACATTTTCATTCATAATGCTGACATCCTTTCTGTTTTCATACAACTGTTTGGCTAGTCAGCCAGGAAGCTCCCAGCTTCTATTTGGAAATAACTTTTCCAAGCATTAACTCTCCAGTCTCTATACCCCTCAGTACCCCAGACCCACATTGAAAGGCTCCACCTGGGGAGTTCCCATTGGCAGTACCTGCCCAGTCATGGGGTGGACAGCAGTCAGAACTGAGAGCCACTGAAAGAAGCCCTTTATCACACAGGAAATCTGAGCTCTGCAGGCGTCAAACTGGCAGGGCTGCCTGGTCAGGCCTGCAGGATGTCTGCTTGATGCCAGTGCTCACATCAGTGGAGGCAGAAGTGAAAAATCAGTGCAGAACAAGGAATCCCAGCCAGTGTCCCCAGGGGTTGAGCAGTGCTCTATTTGCAAGTGAAAACATCAGTTTTAACCTTCATTTCTTTTGAACGGTATGGTCCCTTCATAAAAGACTATTTCAGGATATTTTGTTGTTGTTGTTTTTCCTGTACAGTGCTAAACAGTTTTACCAAACACAAATTTTATCTTCAACATGAGGTTGGAGGGAAATTTATCTCTGCTGTGAATCAAAAGACATTTGATATTTTCTGTTTATTTATTCATTTTTTAAATTTAATTAATTTAACTTCTTTTGAAAATTGCATTTTAGGTTTTGGAGTACATTTGAAGAACATGCAAGATAGTTGCATAGGTACACACATGGCAGTGTGATTTGCTGCCTTCCTCCCCATCACCTATATATGGCATTTCTCCCCATGTTATCACTCCCCAACGCCCCACCCTCCACTGTCCCTCCCCTATTTCCCCCCAACAGACACCAGTGTTTGATGCTCCCCTCCCTGTATCCATGTGTTCTCATTGTTCAACACCCGCCTATGAGTGAGAACATGTGGTGGTTGATTTTCTGCTCTTGTGTCAGTTTGCTGAGAATGATGGTTTCCAGGTTCATCCATGTCCCTACAAAGGACATGAACTCATCGTTTTTGATGGCTGCATAGTATTCTACGGTGTATATGTGCCACATTTTCCCTGTCCAGTCTATCATTGATGGGCATTTGGGTTGGTTCCAGGTCTTTGCTTTTGTAAACAGTGCTGCAATAAACATTCATGTGCATGTGTCCTTATAGTAGAACCATTTATAATCCTTTGGATATATACCCAGTAAAGGGATTGCTGGGTCAAATGGAATTTCTATTTCTAGGTCTTTAAGGAATCATCACACGGTCTTCCACAATGGTTGAACTAAATTATAGTCCCACCAACAGTGTAAAAGTGTTCCTATTTCTCCACATCCTCTCCAGCATCTGTTGTCTCCTGATTTTTTAATGATTGCCATTCTAACTGGCGTGAGATGGTATCTCAATGTAGTTTTGATTTGCACTTCTCTAATGACCAGTGATGATGAGCATTTTTTCATATGTTTGTTGGCCTCATATATGTCTTCTTTTGTAAAGTGTCTATTCATATCCTTTGCTCACTTTTGAATGGGATTGTTTTTTTCTTGTAAATCTGTTTTAGTTCTTTGTAAATTCTGGATATCAGCCCTTTGTCAGATGGGTAGACTGCAAAAATTTTTTCCCATTCTGTTGGTTGCCGATTCACTCTAATGACTGTTTCTTTTGCCATGCAGAAGCTGTGGAGTTTGATTAGGTCCCATTTGTCTATTTTGGCTTTTGTTGCCGATGCTTTTGGTGTTTTGGTCATGAAGTCCTCTCCTATGCCTATGTCCTGAATGGTTTTGCCTAGATTTTCTTCTAGGGTTTTTATGGCGTTAGGTCTTATGTTTAAGTCTTTAATCCATGTGGAGTTAATTTTAGTGTAAGGTGTCAGGAAGGAATCCAGTTTCTGCTTTCTGCACATGGGTAGCCAGTTTTCCCAACACCATTTATTAAACAGGGAATTCTTTCCCCATTGCTTGTTTTTGTCAGGTTTGTCAAAGATCGGATGGTTGTAGATATGTTGTGTTGCCTCTGAGGCCTCTGTTCTGTTCAATTGGTCTACATCTCTGTTTTGGTACCAGTACCATGCTGTTTTGATTACTGTAGCCTTGTAGTATAGTTTGAAGTCTGGTAGTGTGATGCCTCCGCTTTGTTCTTTTTGCTTAGAATTGACTTGGCTATGCGGGCTATCTTTTGGTTCCATAAGAAGTTTAAGGTGTTTTTTTTCCAGTTCTTTGAAGAAGGTCATTGGTAGCTTGATGGAGATAGCGTTGAATCTGTAAATTACTTTGGGCAGTATGGCCATTTCATGATATTGATTCTTCTTAACCATGAACATGGAATGTTTCTCCATCTGTTTGTGTCCTCTCTTATTTCGTTGAGCAGTGGCTTGTAGTTCTCCTTGAAGAGGTCCTTTATGTTCCTTGTTAGTTGTATTCCTAGGTATTTTATTCTCTTTGTAGCAATTGTGAATGGCAGTTCGTTCTTGATTTGGCTCTCTTTAAGTCTGTTGTTGGTGTATAGGAATGCTTGTGATTTTTGCACATTGATTTTGTATCCTGAGGCTTTGCTGAAGTTGCTTATCAGTTTCAGGAGATTTTGGGCTGAGACAATGGGGTCTTCTAGATACACAGTCATGTCGTCTGCAAATAGAGACAATTTGACTTCCTCCTTTCCTATTTGAATACCCTTTATTTCTTTTTCTTGCCTGATTGCTCTGGCTAGAACTTCCAGTATTATATTGAATAGGAGTGGTGAGAGACGGCATCATTGTCTAGGGCCAAATTTCAAAGGGAATGCTTCCAGTTTTTGCCCATTCAGTATGATATTGGTTGTTGGTTTGTCGTAAATAGCTTTTATTATTTTGTGATACGTTCTATTGACACCTAGTTTATTGAGTGTTTTTAGCATAAAGGGCTGTTGACTTTTGTCAAAGGCCTTCTCTGCATCAATTGAGATAATCATGTGGTTTTTGTCTTTGGTTCTGTTTATGTGGTGAATTACGTTTATAGACTTGCATATGTTGAATCAGCCTTGCATCCCTGGGATGAAGCCTACTTGATCATGGTGGATAAGCTTTTTGATGTGCTGTTGCAATCGGTTTGCCAGTATTTTATTGAAGATTTTTGCATCTATGTTCATCATGGATATTGGGCTGAAGTTTTCTTCTCTTGTTGAGTCTCTGCCAGGTTTTGGTATCAGGATGATGTTGGTCTCATAAAATGATTTGGGAAGGATTCCCTCTTTTTGGATTATTTGGAATAGTTTCAGAAGGAATGGTACCAGCTCCTCTTTGTATGTCTGGTAGAATTCGGCTGTGAACCCATCTGGACCTGGGCTTTTTTTGGGTGGTAGGCTCTTAATTGCTGCCTCAACTTCAGACATTGTTATTGGTCTATTTAGGGTTTCAGCTTCCTTCCTGGTTTAGGCTTGGGAGGAGGCAAGTACCCAGGAATTTATCCGTTTCTTACAGGTTTCCTAGTTTATGTGCATAGAGTTGTTTGTAATAATCTGAGGATGGTTTGAATTTCTGTGGAATCTGTGGTGATAGCCCCTTTATAGTTTTTCATTGAATCTATTTGGTTTTTCTCTCTTTTCTTTTTTTATTAATCTGGCTAGTGGTCTGTCTATTTTGTTGATCTTTTCAAAAACCCAGCTCCTGGATTTATTGATTTTTTGAAGGTTTTTTTAATGTCTCTATCTCCTTCAGTTCTGCTCTAA